TGTACCTGCCCATCGCCCCTGAGGTTGAGGATCCAGAGGAGAACCCATTCGGGCCACCGCCGGACACCTCGGTGCCGCCCGGCGCCACGGACGACGCGCTGCCAGGCGGCGACAAGAAGCAGAGGCAGCCGTCATCTGAAGGGGGCCCGGCCAAGAAGAAGGCCCGCACTACCACCATTGAACTGCAGGGGGTGCCCATCGACGGTACGAAGGGCAACTACGGGTCTGGTTCTGCTGAGGAGCATAAATGGGTTTCTGTTTGTTAAATTTACCTTTCCTGGACTTATTTATGAAGCAATAAATCAATTAACAGCTATATAAATTAAAATGAGCTCAGTAATTTTCATTTGAATGATTTATCTTTTTTTCTCATCCAGTTTTTGGTAGAAAAAGTCTTCAGTCTGGTGCTTTGGTCTCCTCTAGCTCTACTTTTCAAAGACACTTTAGAGACTTTAGAATCCATTTCATTTGTTTTGTTTATTTAATTTGGATATTTAATATATCTTCTTGTTCCAGTTTTAAATGTTCACTAGAATTTAAAGTTGATTAACTTTGAGACTAAATGTGTCACAATAACACGCTTTGCTGGGTGATAAATCATCCCAGAAGTTATTGAGATAAATGATATTCAGATCAATAAATGATAAAGTCTCTGTAAACAAAATCCTCCAAAGAAATGTCTCGTTTCATCCAGTTTTTGATGGAAAGACAGAAAAAATAACAATGAATCAAATGGAAATTAGTTTGAGTTTTTTAATTCATCATGTGATTAATTAATTTATTGCAAGAGGCCTGTTGAGATGGCAAACTTGTATCATTATGTTATTATCATTGTATTACTTGAAAATGGTCTCAAAACAACACTATTGTTTACCTTGGTAACTTCTGGAACAACAAAATGTGTTACTGTGACAGGCCTATGATTTATATTTTAATCTGTTCCCCCAGCCTCCTGAAAGTCCGACCTTTCTTTTGTTTCCTCAGAAGTGCACCCCCTGCTGGGCGTGAAAGGGGACAGCAAGTCCAAGAAGAAGACAGCAGGTCGGCCCAAAGGCTCCAAAGGTAAAGACAAAGACTTCTCCTTCAGGCCGAAGCCCTACAAGGGCGAGCGGCCCCCGTTCCCCATGGGGCCTGAGGCCCTGAGCAGCTCTGGCCTGGGGGGAGGAGGAGGAGGAGGAGGAGGAGGAGAAGGAGGGATGAAGGTCAGGGCAGAGGGGGCCCTGGCGACAGGTAAGCCCAAACCCCCCACCTGCTGCTGCTGCTGAGTGTGGCTGACCTGCTTAACAAACCCGGCCTGTTCCCAACCCCTCTGTGTGCCGCTTTCAGCCCCCGTTCCTCACCTTGAACCACCCAGCTGCCTGCTGCTCTACACCTGATTCACCTGTAAACATGAAGATCTGCTCCAATATCTGACTGATAGGGCTGGACAATAAATCAATAACGATATATATCCCGATAGACACGCACTTTGAAAGAATATTAGATATTTATAATATTAACTGACCTCTGATCCAGAACTGCACAGCATTCTGGGAGATGTAGGCTGAGGTTAAGCTGTGTCTGCTCAACGTCTAGGTTAGTGAATCAACTCTCTCACTCTTTGGTTACCTAGCAACAACCTGCTGAGTTTAATGCCCCGCCTTCATTGTTTATGAGTTACTCTTCCTGGATCCCTGAACTCATGGAAATACTTCAGATATACGATGGATGACAGATTTATCATGCATATCAATAACAAATGTATCACAGATCACACAAAAAGCTGACAAATACATAAAATATACAGTAATTAACGACTACAAGCATGTAACTCCTAAAAAGCTTTAGAGCTCCTTTTTAAAAACTGACTGCTGTTCAGCTTTAATTAGAGCTCCCGTTTTATTGCTCTGTAAGAAGAGGTGCGTTTGAAAACATCCTTTAACTGCAGCTCTAGCTGACATATCCTTATAACTAGTTGAAAATAAAAAAACATGAACTGAAAACTCTGGATAAACTGAAAAACGTTTAGCAGAATTTCAGATATTTAAAACAAAAACCTAATCAATAATTATCAATATGGACCGATATGAAATGCTTGTGTTGTGATGAGTTTTTCAGCCATATCGTCCAGCCCTACTGACTGAGAATAGGTGAAAGCTGCTGCAGCCTCTGATCCAAATGGGCTTTAGTTGGGTTCTGCTCGGTGGTTATCCTGCAGGCGAGCTGATTGGTCCAAATGAACTTCCTGCTTGACCTTTGACCCTCCTGCTCCCTCTCCCGCCTCGCTTTGCGGGCTTTCTGTGTGACGTGCTTTGGTTCTGCTCGGGTTCTGGCTGCTGTGTCCCAGATGTCTGTCATGTTGGTATTAATGTTGGACCTGAACGCTGCAGCTTCACGCATTTATTAAGAATCGCCTCTGCAGGCCCGAGTTTCTGATTTAGGACCAGGGTGTTTGACCGTTTCTGACTGAAATTTATTAAATGAGATTTTCAAACAGATTTCTGTTGCAGTGTCTTCGGCTCAGCATCTTTGACCTCTGACCTCTGACTGTCCTCTGTATTCCTGCAGGGAGTCTGGTCTCTCAGGCATTCAAACAGCACAACATTGGAGGGATGGACTGATGGCGAGGAGCGCCAATCATCTCCGTCTCAGACAAACGGACTCAAACTTTATGTTGTGAACAGACTGAATTTCTGCTGAGCAGATCTGAGATCAGCCTCACAGGAAAACTCCTGGACTCGGATCTCCGACCAGAACCGGGAAGCAGCAGACATCCACCCGTCCTCCTGTCTCTCTAGGATCCGTCTTGTATAGAAAACCTTCAAGTCCTCGTAGTCTGTTGCCCTTCCTGTTTTTATACGTATTAAACTGTGTGATTTATAGTCGGTTGTTTGTTTTTTAATGATCAGGTGGTTCTGGTACACCTGAACCGTCACAGGTTCTAGACAACTCTGACGGGTTCGGAACAAACATAATTGGTGTCAAACGTTTGTGCAGCAAAAATCTTCCATTTGTTCTGCTGTCATTGTGAAGAAATGAATAAAAAGATTTCCAGAGGTCAACGAAAATTAATGTTGGAACTGTCACTTAAAAATGCTTTGGTGCTGAACTATGAACATGAATAGATTCATTTTAACAGATGAAAATAATTTTGAACTAGGTCCTATTTAGGATGAAGTGGTACAACAACAAGAAAGGAACAGACGAAGTGACGTGTATTTTGGTTTGTGATCACTAGAGGGTGCTATTAAACTCATTGTACTTTTCAGACAAAAAAATAACTTCAAAACGTGTGTGAGCCATCTGAGCTAAATTACATGACCTACAGTCAGCAACACTTAAGTTTATGTCTACTTAAAGCTGATTGACCTCATTAAACATTTAATATGTTCAAAGCCAAAACAGCATAAATGGAAATTTTGCTGCATGATCATGGACAACATTTGTTTGATGGGGGAGGGAGATGTTTGACCTTTGATGTCCTCTGGAAACATTTATTAACTTTAAAATGATTGTGGAAAAAACAAACTATGTAGCAGCTCCAGCAGGAATTTGACGCAATGGTTCCTGCACATTTTCGAAGTCATACTCTGTTCAATGCAAAACAACCAGGGCCGGAATTCAACAGCCAAAGCGGGCCAGGCAGTGAACGTCCAGTTACTCCAGAACCCATGCATACAGTGTGACACACCTTCAAGCACCAATGCATTGAGTAAAACCAGCATATCAAGAAGAACTGTGATTCTGAAAAAGCTGTTCTGAGTTTGTCTGAATCAGGGTCTCAAACTCAAGTCTTCGAGGTCCACTGTCCTCCAGTTTTTAGATGGTCCACAGGTAGAAAACACTGGAATGAAATTTCTTAATTACCTCCTCCTTGTGTAGATAAGATGTCCACAGCCATGCTAATGTCCTAATTATTCTATTCAGGTGTGGTGCAGCAGAGGAACATCTAAAATTTGCAGGTAAGCGGCCCTTGAGGACTGGAATTGCCCACCCGTTTTAGTAAGAACCAAACAAATACAGCACAGTAAACAGTTTATATTTTATTCTTCAGAATAAAATAAACCGGATCACACAAACGAGTTTTTAAAGAAGAAGCTGGAGCTCAGGAAGAAAGTTCAGGAGGAGTTTGATCAGACAGCAGAACACCTGAAGGTCCAGGCCCGACACACTGAGAGGCAGATTGTTGAGCAGTTTAAGAAGCTTCATCAGTTTCTAGCAGAGGAAGAGGAGGCCAGGCTGGCTGCACTGAGGGGGAAGAGGAGAAGATGGAGGCTCTGAGCAGAGAGATAGCAGCTCTTTCAGACACAGTCAGAGCCACAAAACTACAAGGCTGCAGTATATTTAGATACTATAATTCTTGCACTACTTAAGAATTGTGCAGTTGGTAAATTTGGCAGAAAAGTGAATTTTTTTTTGTTTTTGTCGTTTGTGGTAATTATACTATAACGGCAACATATGCATCCTGGACAGTTCAGCAAGAAAGAGACAGGGGAGACCAGTCCATTGTTCGGCTGCGGATCATTTTAGAGCGAGCAATCACCAGAGGTAAGTACTACCACACCTGTGCCTCTCAATTTGACTGTCAGTCAAATTTGGCACAAATGTTGTGTCTTGGCCAGTGATCAAGGCCCATTTTGTATTGCAAACTGAATTATTTCTGAATGTAAATTATTCTAGTGTTATGCAAATAATTATTTAAACGTTTAGAAGAAAAAAAACTTTTCAATTAAAACACTTCAGCAGCATCCTGTAGTATTTTTTCATTATTATTTAATTTCTTGTTTATTACACGTTTATGTGTATTTTTCTTACCTTGATATCTGTGGATGAATTCTTCATGGAAGAACTTATTAAGTTTATTGTTGCGGAAATTCGCCACTGTGACTTCCTTCGCATCAGCGCAAAAAAAAAAAATGCTGGCAAATTAAGCAAGGATGTTAAAAAAGAGACATTTTTCTTTTCCTGGCATGGACTAACATAAACAGGAAGTTTCCTCGCACCAGGGGAATCAGCTTCCGGTTTTCGTGTTGCCTTGGAAACGGAAGTTCTGTTCCAGTAGTTGTGTGGCTAATCTCATTTCGCCATAATGAATCCTGAAAATTGTGAGGGAACTTTGGCTGTGCCTCTAGAAAACGCACTAGACTCCATCCAGTGCATCAGAGACCGAGTCAGAGGTAAATATCACAAGTTATTTGTTGCGGAGGGAATGAAAACAAAACAAAAATCGATAACAGCAATTGCATGCTAATTCCCAGCTAACGTTTAAAGCAGCATGGAGTGTCTCTTAAAATCCGTTTTCCTGTTTGTTTGCTTCTCTGCTGTTAGTATATTCACGTCAACTCTTTTTATTTACACCAACGTCGTTGTTTTCATATTTCGTAGCTGCGATCCGAGCAGAACATACAAGAACATATCTTATGCTATGTCATTATCATGATTAACTGCCTATTATTTTAAACGAAAACAATATGCATTTTTGGTTTTCCAGTTTTAAGTTATATAAATTAAGACATTTTATCTGCCTTCTGTTGAAATTACTGTCATAACACCGAGATTATCTATTCCGGAAATTGCTAAAGGTCAAGTTCAACATTTTTTTTACTGTTTTGAATCTCTTCAATTTAAAAAACTACAACTGCTAATGGTGTGGACGTGTCTGGTTTTCATTCAAAATCTTTTTCAATCCACTTTGAATGTAAACCAGACACGCGAAACGCGTTTATAATCCTAAACCTGACCTAGTTTATTATAAATTTATAACAGAATATCAAAAACCCAGTTTGTGATTTACAAAACTTTTGTTTGAGTTATGAAAGTTTAATAACATCAATTTCAGCTCCGTTTCTGCATCTTATTGTACTTTAGTTTTTAAACTACAGCTAATTAAAGATGCTGTAGTGAAAATTTTGGTGAAAATGCCATTAGGCAGGAAGCTATGATCATGAGCCAAATTCTTCTTTGACAGGTTTGCATAAACTGTGCCAAACAGCTTCTTAAAATCCAGAGTACTTTGAAAAAATAATAAAAATAAACACATTAAAATAACTTGATTTTTAAAAAAAAAGTCATCAGTAAAAATGAAGACTTTTGTAGCTGCTGAGTTTGCTTGTAAATAGAAGTAAATTGTCTCTGCTTCCATTTGTTATGTGTTTGATGCTTAATCCTGAAACATGTTCTGAAGAGGTAGAATCAATTAGTGTTCTCTGTATTTTTTCCTTTAGATGGAGAATCAGGTGATCAGGATGGACCATTCGATCTCTCCATGTTCTGGGACACTTTGAGTTGAGTTTTCTTAACAAATTTACCACTTTCTAGATCCCATGTGGCTTAAAATGATCTCCCATCTTCTTAGTGTCCATCTTTTGTCAGAGACTCCTTTTTGCACAGGAAGATGAGATATACAGTCCCAGTTGTTTCAGAATAGTGCTCATATTTGACATTTTATCATCACACATTATTGCTCATTACAATGAAGCATTTTGTGTCTATTGAATACTTGGGAAATATTTCCAAACTTTTCTTCCCTTTCCTCAGACCATGCAGTGGAGGCAACGTCTCAGGATGTAACTAAACTGAGCTTGGCCTTCTCTAGACCCCCTCTGCCATCTTTACAAGTAAGTTTGCTATTTTCAACAAGGATAATTGTTTCTTTTCACAAAATTCTGCTCATTCATTCAGGTCTCACAAATAAAACATCTAAAGGCATCTAAATGTTCTAAGTTGACTGTTCAGGAATTTTTTTGATTTTCTCCATGTTGAACTGCCATATAAACATGTTATTGTAAAAAAAAATTCACTTGTCGACAGGATGGAGAAAAGCTGGTAGAGTCTGTTTTGAACAGCCTACAGGCTCTGAGTGAAGTTTATCACCGCCTTCACAAAAACCAAGGTGACTCTTAAACTGTATAAAGTTTGATTTTTATTAGCAAAATAAAGTAGATCTGAGTAAAAGAGCATAGTTGGGTAGTAACTAGTTACATTTACTCAATTACATTTATTTCAGCAACTTAAAAAAAAAACTTTTTAAGTTATTTACATAATTTTACTATGCTGTACTTTTTACTTTGACTTGAGTAATTTTATAATAAAGTGTTTTTACTCTTGAGTAAAATTTCTGGACTTTCTGTCCACTGAATGAAAAACAAACATGTTTTAACCAAAACTTCACCAAACACAGATACACACCTGCAGTTTTTATTAAAGTTCAATAAAGGTTTTTATTGAAAAACTCATTTGGAAATTTGTTTTAATTTTTTTGTCATTTTGGTTCTTAAAATGACAAAATGTCCACATAAGTTCACATTTTGGTTCGTCTGAATATTTAATTTTTAAATATTAAATAATTCATAATTTGATCAATATTTGAGAAGACTTTTTACCAAATACTTTTTTATTATTTCTTGGACAGCTGCTTTCTACTTGAGTAAAAATATGTTTAAACAGTGCTTCTCTTACCCGGTTACCTTTTTTGGCTACTCTGCCTTCCTCTGCTGAAGAGTGATTAATATTTGCTGCTGCACTGTAAGTCTGGTTGAGTATTTTAGTCCTTTCTGTGTCTCAGGGATGACTCTCCGGCGACAGGTCAGGAACGCCACTGTGGAGGTGCTGGACGGCATTTTACGGCTGGTGGATGTTATAATCAGCTCACCAATGCAAAGGTGCACAAATCACTATCACACAAACATGGGAGGAATTACAAAGCAGCCAGCCTCCAAAATCTGCCGTTTCCTTAAGGCTGTTTGCCTTTTCCCACTGGATTCACAAAGCAAATTACACTAAACGTGTCACCCATCAAGTCCAGCAGATTGGAGGAATGTTCACCTATTTCTGCACCATAGTTGTCCTCTCATCAACTAGAAGAGCTGACCATTCATGGCCAGAGAAACGTCAAAGGTTGTAGAAATTCCCAGTTATTTTTACTTCAATTTTTAAAATTTCCCAAGATGTTACATCAGGGTGAAAAATATTATTTTAGCCTTTGTCCAATTTGGCATATCACCGCTTCTCTGGGACACATTTCTGTACCTTTTGACTATATCTGATTTTTAAAGGTTTAACAAAACTAATCTACTGTTTTGGAACTGCAATTCAACTATAGCACAGATTTCATTGACCTCTTTTTGAATATATCCTCCACAAAACACTGAGTCAAGTCAAGTTTATTTATGTTACAAAGTCAGCTCTAAACAGCTGGGATTTAGCCTTGATTAAAAGGAACTTGGGGTTTCAGCTGTTTCATAGTGCTTTTTGTTCCAGATTTGTGGTGCATAGAAGCTGAATGCTGCTTCTCCATGGTTCTGGTTCTGGGGATGCAGAGCAGACCAGAACCAGAGGTCTGGAAGGATAGCATAACAACTTTTGGTACAAAGTCGCTCAGTGATTCATAAAGTATTTCAAAGTCAGCATCTAGACCCCTTTCAACTTGTTTGAGTGCTGTTTGCAAGCAGCCCATCACTAGAAATATTATTTTTACTAGGAAAAAAATCAGGAAGTTGTTGGATATCTTCCCTCCTTTGTGTGCAGCTTCATCATTTCCCTCTTTCTGCTCTTCTCTCTGCTGCCATTCAGCCTGACTCAGGAGCAGATCACATCCACTAGAGAAGTTTGGTCTGCCTGTGATCGCTTTGTTCGGCTACCAAAAGGTAAGCAGGTACAAATAAAGCAAAACTCAGTTGTAAAATATTGATCAGCTTTTTTTACTCAACAATGTGATTTTTTAATATATATCACCTGCACTAACATCAGCATTGTTTTGACTTAATCTGTGCTTCTAGTTTACAGGTAGTTAGATTTTATCTGGAGAGTAAGATATCTGCAAGAATGTATCAAGTTTTCCAAAGTAATGATGTAGGAGTAAGAGTCTTTATTTACTTTTGACTTATGGTGAAGGCCATTTGTGGCCACTTATCACTGAGTCAATTAGTAAAATTTTATTTTTTAATTTCCATTTCCATTCCTGTGCATAAACAGTGACAACAAACCTACTGACACTGATGACAAACTGTTTTACTGGTAATCATTGTGCAAAGATGACCAAACAATTTTGGTCTGGTTTATTCCTATACGGTTTCCCCCAGAAAACTAGGTAATTATATTACTGGACGATATTCCATACAATACTTAAACCCACAACCGTAGAATCTTAAAAAAAAAAAAAGAAAAAAAAACCCAATTCAAATAAATATAAATTTTTTGCTCTTCTGTTAATTCAAAATTAAGTCATCACTTAGTGGATCTAAAAACATAATGTAATGCTGATCACATTTACCCTGGCCCATGGCATAAATAAACTAAGAGAATATCAATGCAATTAAATTTGATTTAATGGTTTCAGCATAGATAAATTAAAAGATTTAAAATTGTTTATCGTTTAGATTTAAGATTTTAAGGAGCTGGCAAGTTTATGTTGTAAAAGTTAAACCAAAAATCTTCATAGTTAGATTGTTTTGTTGCCATAGCTACAACCTGATGCTGTGAGTTTTATCTGTACAAAAATACATCTTATTAAAGTACAATTATAATCGACTGCCTGAGCAGGATTACTGTAGCAACAACACATTATCAGTAGGGTAAAACTAATCTGTCTCATGACAGTTTAACCCCAGCTCACGTTCCCTATTAGTGGGTGAACAATCCAACGCTTGGTCAATTCGGCTTCACTATGATAGGAAGAGCCGACATCGACGGATCAGAAGATTTGATCGTCGCTATGAATGCTTGGCCGCCACAAGCCAGTTATCCCTGTGGTAACTTTTCTGGCACCTCCGGTTTAAACCCCAAAAAGTCAGAAGGATCATGAGATTGGCTTCTTTGACCTTTAGGGACGAGTTTTTCTGAGTTAAGTGAAGCTGACATCCCACCAATGTCAACCAATCCAGCAAATAGTCTGAATGGTTAATGCTCCATTTGTGCAGGTTTGTGCCGTTAAAATATTTGTTTGTTCAGCTTTAATTTCTGAGATATTACTTATGTTTTAGGCTATCCATCACCACCACCCCCTCTTGCTCCAAAACAAAAAATTGTGGCCTTCTGTAGTAAATAGAAGATTAGCTTAATATACGTACAATAAACTTGGTAAACTTCTCAAAAAGCAATAAATTATTAGTCTTAGGCTACATTCACACTGCAATTCCGATACGTATATATATATATTTTGCCTGGTCATTTACGCTTCAATATATATATTAACATGTTTATTGTTGGGAAAAATATGTATTTCACAGACAACAAGGAAGCCCTGCTGGTCGTTGTGTCGTCTCAGTCTGGAGTTATAAAAGATGCCCTTGACGAAATGAAACATGTAAACACTAACACTCTTTTCAAAGGTTTTTTTTCTTTGTTTTTGTCTTTATTACAATTATTTAATAACCTAATTTTTACACAATAACCCAGATTTATTGCTTAAAATCACCAGCTGTTCTGTCCTTCACATTCACAGGTCTTATTCGAACCTGAGGACCCGTTCAGGGACTGCGTCATTGATGACCCAGAAGACGGCTCTGACCATGACGTTCCCCCCTGCCACCAGGACATGTCCCTGACAGAGAAGGACCGGCAGGTGATCAGAGCTTGTCTGGAGATACTTGAAACAGCTGCAGCCTGTCTGAGGAAACTCAGGTCAGCCGTCGAAGACAACAGTGACACTACTGAACCTCAAAAGGTCGCTCAGCTGGACGATCTGGCCGACATCACCCGGGAAATCAGCCCCAGGTAAATAGACGGTGTTGTTGTTTCTGCTGGATTTGACATAGAGAATGGAAAAAAGTTGCAATTAAATGGAAAAAGTGAATGATTTTACATTAACTAAACAGACTCCTGCTGATTGGGTTACACATTTAAATCCAAATATGTTGGTTTTTGCCAGCAGGTTCAAGTTATTTGCATGATGTTTGGGTTTGCAATGTTGTTTAACTTTCCATCATAAGTTTTTTTAACTGTTTTCTCCCATGAACATATTTCTCTGTTTTCCTTCGTAGTGTGGAAGATCTCTCCCTCTGTCTCTACCCACCCATCAGCTACAGTGGAGTGGAAAACCACGTAAGGCAACCCTGCATTTTTCTGAAAAATAGAATACATTTCTTTACTCTCCGTCAAATTAATAAGGGCGTTGTTTTTAAATCTTAAAAATTTGCAGTTTTTGATATTTGATGTGTTTCCATAACATTGATATAGAGTTGTTTTTGTTTTTTTATTCTTTTGAAGAATAACAAACTTGCTTTTTCTCCATTTAGATGTCTACATTGGCAGCAACGTTAAGAAAACTTTTGGACGTGATTAGGTAATATTTACTTATCCACAGTAGCTTGTATCTGTGAAAATCAAGAGCGCATGATGCACAGAAAATACCTAATTGTATTATAATAATTGTAATGATTATAATTATAGTGATTATAATGATTAACCCATATTTTACAACAAATAAGACATTTTTTCATGTCATAAGTGAAATGATCTCTCAATGGTGCTAGTATTTTTCCTTCATAAATATTAAGGGATTATTGACTTGAAACAAGTTCTAACATGTTGCTGAAAAATTACTTGTAAGTTAGTTTTATCTTGTATTAAGTGTGCTGAGATATTTGCACAAGAAACTAGTCAAAAATACTTAAGATGTTTTCAATTACATCAAATTAGAAAGCTGAGCTCCATTTCACAAGCCAAACCCGGTGAGATTATTACTTCAGAATCAACTGTAATAACGATGTTTATGTGTGTGAACATTTGGTTTCACATGCTCAAAGTGTACAAACATAAATTGATGAACTTTCCTGGATTAATAACATACTAATTAAGAATATGTACACATATTAATATAGACCTAGTTCTTTATGTGAAAATAGTGCAAACATGCTCATCTTGTTTCACAACTACTGAGGCTTTCAGGAATTCATTTTGTTTTTCAGACAGAAAGCCTGGGGGGAAGAAACTGCCACTCTGGCAGCTGGTTTTTACTAGTTAGACTCTATTGACCTGCAGATATAAAAATGATTTAATGGAATATTTATGATGGCTGAAAGGTCTCAACACATCATCAAAAAAAATAGGAAACAATCTATATGTCTGAAAAGTGTTACAAAGTGAATCCTTTAATATTCAGCAGTAGTGCTTTAATAAACCCTAATAAATTTAGAAAATTATTATTTAGACTGATGAGACAAAAGTTTACCTTTCTGGAAAGTTCGTGTCGACACGCATCAGACCTAAAACTTTCAGAGACAGTCAGACAAACATGGTGGAGGCAGAGTGACGGCTGATTCTACTTTACCCAGGACTTAACTCTGCCCTGAACCTTCAGAGACACAGAAAGACCATTATAAAGCCAGCCTTCTGTCACCTGAAGAGCAGGTGACAGAATCCTCCAGCATTGCTGTCCTCTAATCCTCCAGGATTAGAGGACAGCAAGATCTAGAGAGACTCATTCATGTGTTTATCTTTAATTGCTTTTATGAGTGCAACAGGTCTCTCTAAACAAATCAATCCTGCAGCTGATCCAGATCGCTACCGCTGCCGTTCTGACTAAAACCAGGAAGAGAGAGCACATCACCCTGTTCTGAGTGCAGAAATACAATAATTCTCTTTTCTTTTCACTTTGATGTTATGAGTTTTTGTTTTATGGTGTACTTGCCTTGACTTGGACAGTTTCACAGAGTTGATGAAATTATGAATTTTTCTATCTACCAGAAGACCCTGTAGGACACGGCCATTTCTGAACACCTCAAAAAACAAAACATGACGTTTGAAAACAACTAGTTATAAGGTTAAGGAAGAAGTAGTTTTAACACCAAGCCAGGTTGGTTTGGAATAGCTATTTTTTTTCCCTTAGTGACTGACATCAACATTAAAAAGCAAAAACAGAAAAATTCAGTTTGAGTCTAAACACTTTTTGAAACCTGAGTTGGTTGGCTACGCTTCTGAGTTTTTAGCTATTGAGAGCAGCTTTCCACTCACCTTTACCTTAAAACGGTGTCTAAATAGAGCATTTCTTTTTGTTTTAGCTGCAGCACATCCTGGTGTTTATATCTGGATTTGTAGACATTGAGATGGTTGATATCAGTTTTTCTGGCATGGAAACCTTGAAGTTTTTGTGTGGATATGCAGACAGACTCTGATATGCTGAATCAGACTACATAACAATCTAAACCTCAGTTTAGTCACCTCCAAAATGGGCTTATTAGAACAATCTTTTTTCAGTATGTTGTCTGTAATTAAAATGATCTGTTTGTGATCAATGTTGCTGTTTAAGTGATGACAGCTTTGACTTGTGCTCACTCTCCAGAGCCAGCCATGTGTGTGGAGAAGCAGAGCTGACCTGGGTTCAGTTTTTAGAGGCAGCCGTCGATCACAATGTTCAGAAAGCCAAAGAATCGATTGAGCTGGACAGCTGATTAAATGTAATAAAAAGTTGGTAACATGCATTTAATGGCCGCCTTTGCAGAATCATTGTTCTGGTTTATGTAAAACCGGAGCGCCAGAAAATAAAAATGGGAACAAATTACTTTAACTCTAATGGAAAAAAGACAAAAGCTGGAAATACACTCACTGGCCACTTTATTAGGTACACCTGTCAACCTGTTCATCAAAACAAATGTTGGATCAGCCAATTACATAGCAGCAACTCAATGCATTTAGACATGTAGACATGGCCAAGACGTTGTGCTGCAGTCCAAGCCGAGCATCAGAATGGAAAAGATTTCTCTGAGTGAGTCCAGCTGCAGGAGCTGCTCACACTGAAGGTGAGTTGGACCAAGAACACTCAGAGTCACTTTGAGGGACGTTAGTAGAGGACGGAGGGAGCCGTGACTGACTGGACCTTCTGTGTTTTCAGTTTCACTCAGAGACAAAATGGCTTCCAGGTTAGAGGAGGATCTCTGCTGTCCCGTCTGTCAGGACGTCTTTAAGGATCCGCTTGTTCTGACATGCAGCCACAGCTTCTGTAAGGAATGTCTGGAGAACTGGTGGAAAGAGAAATCAGCAAAAGAGTGTCCAGTTTGTAAGAGGAGATCTTCAAGGTCTGATCCACCTTTAAATCTGGTTCTGAAGAATCTGTGTGAGACTTTCTTACAGCAGAGACTTTCAGAGGATCTCTGCAGTCTGCACTCTGAGAGACTCAAACTCTTCTGTCCTAACCATCAATAACCAATTTGCTCCATTTGCAGAGATTCAAATGGATCCTGCAAATGGACACATTAACCACAGATTCAGGCCTATTGATGAAGCTGCTCAGGATCACAGAGAGAATCTGAAAACATCTCTGGAGCCTTTAAAGAAGAAGCTGGATCTCAGGAAGAAAGCTATAAAGAAGTTTGATCAGACCAGCAGGACGCCTGAACAGTGAAGTGATGGGTGCTTTCCCAAAAGGTAATGAAGGACGGCGAATCTTAACAAACTCCTCCTTTTTCCCTGATAGGAGGATGTGACCAATGATGTCAGTAACGTGTTACTGACGTTGGATCACTTTTTTCAGTAGTGAGTAATCTAACATGCTACTATTTCAAATCCAGTAATTGGATTGAAGCTACTTACCCTAATCACTGTGCGCTACTATTTTCTCTTTTAATGTGATGATGATGTGAAATGACAATGTTGTAAATTCTACATGCAAGAAAATATGTTGCCACAGAAATGTCTAATGTTTAGCTGGGCTTGAATTTGTATATTAATTTAATATATTTGAGAATTTAATTCACACATATACTGTGATTAAATTGTTTGCCCAAACAGTTTTTGTTCCTGAAACCCAACAAACGGTAAACACGATTATCACATCTATCATACTAATGATAAAATTTCAATATGTCCGATCGGATCCGAATATATAAACTATGCCTGTGGCACACACAAACTATTCCTGCGCTCTCAAAAGTAGCAACTAATTTAATAAGTTAGCTTTTCATCAAATCCAATTGGTGCTCTTCATTATGTGCTATAGTCATGCATGGGCAGAGTGTGAGGAGGATGTGCTCTTTTGACATCCAATATGCAACCTGCATTAGAATTTTACAGACGTTATATTATCAGTCAGGGAAAATGTTTCTTAATAACTGATGACAGCAACTTGACTGTAGCATTTTGCTACATATCCAGACAATGCTTATCTTCATTTTAACATAAGTTTCTGTCTGTGTCACAAGTCTCAGTTCTGATCTCCTGTGAGGTGAATGAGGTAAAACCTGGTTTTAGTTGCTGAATTTCAGTTCTCTCCTTGAGGAAAATGTGCACACATTCAAGCATCAGATCCCAGCAGCTTCTGCCTTGATGCTGCAGCTCCATCACAGAACTTTGCTTTGTGCAACACTAATAACCGTCCTCCCAGAACAATATCCAGGAACCAAAAATAAAAGCAGTATAAAACAGAAATACCCTTGCTGCAATGCAAAGGCAATAACATTTTAATTAAACAAAAAAGGTGTTTTGAGAAGGTTCATAAGAAAAATGAAAAGTAGGACAGTTTATTGTTCATTATTAATTTTTTAAAAATGTTTAAAGATGAATGTTTCTGACAGACTATCTTTAGAATGAAAACCATGTTTGTTTTGGGTGAAACAGGAAGTTAAAGCTCCGCCCCCAGGATCTGCTGCCTGAACTGAGACAGGAAACAGGGTAGGAATTGTCTCTACTAATTTTTTTTTGTACAAGTTCTGTTCAAATCTCTGAAGAGAAAAGTAAAAATGTGAGCTTTAGAGCAGAATTTGGGATGAAACACACCTCAGTTGGAGCTGAACTAAAGCTGGAAATAGTTTGTGATTGTTGTTTTCTGCACAGAGACCCCCAGACAATCAAACTATCAGCTTCCTGTGAGTGAGTCCAGCTGCAGGAGAGAAAAGGAAACCTCCAACTCTGCTGCTTCCAGCTGCTCACACTGAAGGTGAGTTGGACCAAGAACACTCAGAGTCACTTGAGGGACCTTAGTAGAGGACGGAGGGAGCCGTGACTGACTGGACCTTCTGTGTTTTCAGTTTCACTCAGAGACAAAATGGCTTCCAGGTTAGAGGAGGATCTCTGCTGTCCCGTCTGTCAGGACGTCTTTAAGGATCCACTTGCTCTGACATGCAGCCACAGCTTCTGTAAGGAATGTCTGGAGAACTGGTGGAAAGAGAAACCAGCAAGAGAGTGTCCAGTTTGTAAGAGGAGATCTTCAAGGTCTGATCCACCTTTAAATCTGGTTCTGAAGAACCTGTGTGAGACTTTCTTACAGCAGAGAGACCAGAGAGTTTCAGAAGATCTCTGCTGTCCAGTGTGCAAAAAAGTCTTTAAGGATCCTGTTGTTTTATTGTGCAGCCACAGCTTATGTAAGGAATGTCTGAAGAGCTTCTGGAGAGAGAAACCATCAAGAGAGTGTCCAGTTTGTAAGAGGAAATCTCCAAAGGCTAATCCGCCCATAAGTCTGGTTCTCAGGAATCTGTGTGAGACTTTCTTACAGCAGAATAATAAGAAACTTTTAGAGGGTATCTGCAGTCTGCACTCAAAGAAACTCAAACTCTTCTGTCTGAACCATCAAGAACTAATTTGCTCAATTTGTAGAGATTCAAAGAAACACACCAACCACAGATTCAGGCCTATTGATGAAGCTGCTCAGGATCACAGAGAGAATCTGAAAACATCTCTGGAGCCTTTAAAGAAGAAGCTGGAGCTCAGGAAGAAAGTTCAGGAGGAGTTTGGTCAGACAGCAGAACACCTGAAGGTCCAGGCCCGACACACTGAGAGGCAGATTGTTGAGCAGTTTAAGAAGCTTCATCAGTTTCTAGCAGAGGAAGAGGAGGCCAGGCTGGCTGCACTGAGGGAGGAAGAGGAGCAGAAGAGAGGGATGATGGAGGAGAAGATGGAGGCTCTGAGCAGAGAGATAGCAGCTCTTTCAGACACAGTCAGAGCCACAGAGGAGGAGCTGAGAGCTGCAGACGTCTCATTCCTGCACAACTACAAGGCTGCAGTGGAAAGAGTCCAGCGCTGCCCCCTGCTGGAGGATCCACAGCTGCCCTCAGGAGCTCTGATAGACCAGGCCAAACATCTGGGCAACCTGGCCTTCAACATCTGGAGCAACATGAAGGACATGGTGACCTACACTCCTCTGGTTCTGGACCCAAACACAGTCCATCCAGGACTCCTCCTGTCTGGAGATCTGACCAGTTTGACTCCAGGAGAGAGACAGAAGCTTCCTGATAATCCAGAGAGGTTTGGTTGTGATTGGTCAGTCCTGAGCTCTGAGGGTTTTAACTCAGGGAGCCACAGCTGGGATGTTGATGTTGGAGACAGTGAAGGATGGATGCTTGGTGTGTTAGCAGAGTCTGTCCAGAGGAAGGGACATTTAGAGTCTGGACTGTTGGTCATGTTGTTCATTGATGGTGAATACGAAGCATATTCTCCACCAGCTCCTCCCACATTTCTCTCAGTCCAGAATAAACTCCAGAGGATCAGAGTGAATCTGGACTGGGAAGGAGGAAAGCTGTCGTTCTCTGATCTGGATACTAACACACACATACACACCTTCACACACACCTTCACTGACAAGATGTTCCCATATTTCAGCACTGCTGAAGTAAAACTCTTACCGATGGAGATCTCAGTGATCAAACAGCAGCTCTGAGGTTTTCAGCATGAAGAACCAAAAGTCCAAATGATTCCAGTTGGAAATTATTTCTGTAAATATGTGTCTCCCTTTTCTGTCACAATGAGTCGGGTTATGCAGAATCCAGACCTGAATGTTGAATGTTTGTGATTTTCTATTAAATCTGGATTATGACTCCTCAACAATATGAAGGACAATAGTGAAGTTTGAGCTTTCCCTCATTCTTTAAAAAGACAGTAATTATTCCATAGGTAAACATCTGGACTCAAAGACATTCATACAATATATTTAAATGTTTCATTGAATATTTTTCTTGGTGGGAAATCATAAACAGTGTTTATTTTTAAATGTTATGTCATGTAAATATGGGTTTTGTTTTGTTTTTTACTAAAATGTTTCTAGAAATTAAAATAAAGTAACAGATTCTTTTTATGGATGTATAAAATATAGTTTTATTTGTCTTACAGGCACATATGTAACAGTAAAGTGGTGAAATGATCAACAATCAATAAAATACACATACAAGCAGTTTTGTTCTCATAAACCAGGAAAAGTTTCTTAATGTTTTTAATAAACATTTTATTTACAGTCAGAGGCAGTGGACTGGTTCCACTAAAGCGTATTTTTTCTCAGTCACCTGTTCAATGAAACAGCAGCAAGTTTAAAGCAGGAAAAATATTTCTTTTGGATAAGATAGAGAGGATGGACCGGATAAAGGTGCAAAATAAAATGAAAAACAAGAGAAAAGTTTGAACTGAGAAGCTTTCAGTGTTAGAAGTTCATCATGGCACAAACTGTATCATCACAGACATTAAGGTTGGCATAGATTTGGGATTTTAATAAAGCATTTGAACCGTTTTTCACTCCATCTGATCCAAACCGACCCATGAAAATCAAAGCATGAATGTAAAGTTGAGCGGATGAAAAGTTCTGAGAGAAACAAACAAAAATGCTGTAAACCGTCAGAAAACTGCAAAATGCTAAACTTCATGTGTTTAATTACTTACTTCAGATCAGGAACTAAACAACATTAAAATATTCAAACAGATCAATCAGTCCCTATGGATGTTTGCTGGTTCTGTATCAATTAGTGTTTCATAACATCTCAAATAAAGGCGTAATAAACCCTGAGTAACAAATCAGCTGCAGAAATAATGAATCTGAACGCTACAAAAATGCTAACGTTGTTTTACAGCATCTAGTATGAACAGGACTGACTGTAGTTTTCCCATTAATCAGGACGTAAAAGAAAAACTAAGGAAAATAAAACTGAAACTGAAAGTTCTGAAAATGGACAGATCATGGATCAGCATTTATTTCATTTGACTGTCCTAGTCAAAGCCCTGCTTTAAATCAAACCAACAGATTCTGGCTCTCTTGCTAATATAAAGGAGTTTAGATTTCACCACAGTCAGGAAGAAATCTCAAAAACAGTTTTGCCTCTTCACTATTTTCTAAAATCATTGATCACACAAAAATTTTCATTGATAAATTATAAATGAGATTTTTTAGTAAAAGTGACGGCCTTTTAGTTAATTTCAAACTGATTTAAATAATAAATTTCAAAAATGTTGCGGAAGAATAAACTTTTTTTTAAATCTCAGCTTTAATGTGATAAATGATCTGTTTTAATCTGTTGGTGATACCGCAGAGTTCCAGCAGGGGGGGTCACTGAGACACTGTCCTCTGGAATCTGAAGAACCTTCTTCCTCTGGTTCTACTCAGATTTATCTGAAGATGTTAGTGGAAATATTCATGTCGTTGCAAACAACCAAACTATTAGATTGATTTTTAAAAATCATTTCGGCACAAAGTTTTATCCTGAACAGCTGGATGTGTCTCAAAGAACCAATGAAGGTTTTTCATTTTCTAATTCGACCTTAAAGCTCGATGATGGCAGCATGTCTAACGCAGTCCATAACTCTTCTAATCACAGATAAGAATGTATATGTACAGCATGGGGTCAGAGGTCAACAGTGATCTGGGTATATCGGTGTGCGTTTCCTGCATGCTGAGCTCATAAAATGCTGCAGGCGGTGGGATACTTGGAGGTGAAGACCTTGTTCTCCGTCCCGTACACGTAGAAGTTGTAGTCCTTCCCGCCGTACGAGTAAAAGGCGTGAGTGAGGGGCACCAGCTCGATGGTCTGACGCTACAGAGGGGCACACAGAGGTCAGGAGGTCATGCAATGTCTGGCAATGCAAAACCATGGTGATAGGACATCAGCAATGACCTTAGAGAGGTAGCTTCAGGGTTTCCCCCAGTCTAATATAAACCTGGTGGCCCGCCAGGCTTTACTTGACCCCCCGCCAGGCTGACAGTTGTTTGTTAATTTAAATAATTTTTTGATCCGGAAAAAGTGATAAATGGATTAATAGTCATCTTCCGCTCACAATGGCCGACCTTGCAGACAAGGTTCACCGCCACCACCATCAAATAAGTGAACCCTCCTGGATCAAGGGTGGAGGGTGCACTTACTTTTAAGACCCTGTGAGCCCCAGGAGTCCTGACAGTGTCAGAAGGAGGGTGTGTACCTGCTGGAGGATGCGGCTGGTGGAGGTGAAGCGATACAGGTGATCGTTGATCAGTGTGGCTGAAACGTCGCAGATCTCCTGATCAGGGAAGCCATGGATTGGATACACCTGGAGACACGTCACCATGGTAACACGTTACATCTTTTTTTACCACTTTGATGTTCTTAAGCTCTTTGATGTTCCTTTAATGTTAGTGTTCTACTGACAGAGTCTGGACCTGGCGGAACCGGCTCGTCTCACCAGAACGTTCTCGTCGATGAAGAACGGGTCGCCTGACACCTTCTCAAACTTCCTGTCTGGGAAGTCCGGCTGGCGATCCGGGATGAAGCAGCTCACGTTGTTTCTCCTGGAAACATGGCAACAACCGATGGACACGGTGAGGTCCGAACGGGTCGGAACCGGGTCAGAGGAGGGCGAGTGTTCAGCTAGCGCACCATGTGACCGTGAGCTGGATGAAGTGCAGCAGATTCTGGGCACCGTGGCAAACGGAGCAGATCTTGAAGCCGTCTCCACGGCAACTGACACACCTGGAGAAACAAATATGAAGTTACCAGGACAACGAAGAAAACAACAGAACCAGAACAGAACCAGAACAGAACCAGAACAGAACCAGAACAGAATCCAACAGAATCAGAACAGAACCAGAACAAGAACCAGAACAGAACCAGAACAGAACCAGAACAACCAGAACAGAACCAGAACAAAACCAGAACAAAACCAGAACAGAACCAGAACAGAATCAGAACAGAACCAACAGAACCAGAACAGAATCAGAACAGAACCAGAACAGAACCAGAACAAAACCAGAACAGAACCAGAACAGAACCAGAGCAGAATCAGAACAAAACAGAACAGACCAGAACAGAACCAGAACAGAACAGAACAAACCAGAACAGAACCAGAACAGAACCAGAGCAGAATCAGAACAAAACCAGAACAGAACCAGAACAGAACCAGAACAGAACCAGAACAGAACCAGAGCAGCCTGTTGAGCCTCTTTCAGCTGGTGGTTCTGGTTCTGCAGCGCCAGATGATACCAGCAGAGGTCCGGCCTGCTCTGTCGTCTTGGACAGTGAAATCTAACCCTCAGCAGGACGTTAATAAAGCCTTTTACCTGCGGCGGCCTCGTCCGTGACAGGAAGTGCAGCGTTTTTTTCTGGCCCGCCCGTTACCATGGCAGAAGCTGCATCGTTTCTGAGAAACAAGGAGAGAGATGGCGTTGTTGAAGCCGACCCATTTTCAGCAGAAGATGCTTGATATGTTGGAACCAACATCTGAATCTGATATATGTTGTTTGTAGACGTGACAATACAAATGGAGCTGCGTCCATAAAACCTATGAGTTGAAGGTTCCGGCTCACCATTCCTCGGCCGAAGCAGCTGGCGCAGCGCGTCCTCCCACAGCCGTGGCATTTATGGCACACCTGAAACACAGACACACCTGGCTGTTAGACAGGGCTGCTGGTCCAGGTAGGGGGCGGAGTCACAAGAAACCATAGCCCTTTTTGGAAAATAGTATTTTTTATTACTCGATTATAATCACAATACTTTAACCTCTTTAAATTCTGCACCTCAAAAATTTAACCAAAGTGTAAAAAAACTTCAATTACTACTATACTTATAAAAGCCAAACAATATTTAGCTAAAAATATTAAAACTAACTGAATTAGACAAAACAAAATATAACTTAGCAATAATGAAACCTGGTCGGACCTTCACGAAGGACGAGTGCGGCACCCGGATCTTCTCCACCCTGTTGGAGTACATCTGCGGCGGCGACACCGGGATGTCCCACGGTGGGGGGCTCGCCCCGTACTGGGGGCCGTCCACCGCCTGGCCTGGTCCAGAACCACACAGACACACGGAAAGAAACGTGCTTCATAACGCTGTTAATCCTCTTCATGAGATTTGCAGAGTCAGTCAGAAGCTTCTTCAGAGCGGCTGTAACACAGACCTCTGCAGGAGGTCCAACCAGAGGCTCTGAGGAATCCTGAGTGGACCTGAACTGGTTCTGGTAAATAGAAAAGGTTTACCGTTGTAGGGCTCCAACTGCCAGGCGCTGGTTCTGGTCTCAGTGTAGGTCTCCAGTCGATACTGAGGGATGAAGACAAAAAAAAAAGGATGACGACAATAACATTTGGGTTCAAGCTAAATATTTAGCGAAAATGCAAATTGGCTTGCCAATAAGTTTAAGTGGAATACCAAAATAAAAGCTGGGTTTTGCTGCTTATCGGCAAACTAATTAGCATTTTAACTAAATATTTAGCTAGGACCTCAATATTTAGCTCAGAGTTAAATATTTAGCTCAGAACCCACATATTTAGGTAGCAAGCTAAATATTTATCGCTCTTTAGAACTAAACATCTAGCTTGGAAAATAAATACTTAGTTTGAAAACTAAATATTTAGACATTTTTTTCTGGCATCAAGTAGCCAGGTCATCTGAACTGAGGCTGCAGCTGCAGACAGAGGTTGTGTTCTGACCCGGTAGACGGTGACGGGCTTCAGGTCCTTGAAAGTGAGGTTCCGGGCCGGTTTGGAGCTGTACTTCCATTTGGACTCGACAAACTTGAGCAAAGCGTCTCGGGCCACGTCCTCCGATATGGATGGGACTCTGGAGACAAACCGAAGGACGGGTTAACCTGTCATCCTGTCCGGAGCCGCTGTCAGAACCAGACCGGCCCGATCTTACCGGATGGTGGGGACTGAGGTGCTTCTGTTGACCTCAGGCTGGGGGTTGTAGGCGGGGGGCGGAGGGTACAGCGGTTCATCATCCTCTGGACCTGCAGGGAGACAGGAAGTGGACTCATGTTCACCCTCTGGCAGACAGGAAGAGTCTAGTAATGGGGTTTTCACTATAGGTTACCTTTTGTTTGTCTAATTTAGTTTGTTTCAATTCATTTTAATAGTGTTTTCTGTTTTTTAGGGATGGGTTAACTTATTAGTTAATAAGTATGTTTCCAATTTATTTTTTATTAGTTATAGTTATAAATAGCCCAAAGTTAAGCTCTTTATTTGACTGTATTCCTCTTTGTAGCTTATCACCTTTGCTTTGTTTTATCTATTCTATGTATGATTAGCTTCTGATTTTATGTTTGATGCTTTTATTTTGAAAGTACAACTTCCGGTTTATTAACAAACACCATCAAAATGACAGAAGTTGGATGAAAAATTGCAGCAGAGTTGATAAAATGTAGCTTGTTATTATCAGAACTCTTTATAGAGGCACCAGGTATTCTGTAAATAAGTATGTTTCCAATGTTGAGTAACTAAACTGTGTATTGTTTTTACCAGATAGTAAAAGTAGAGTTGGTTTTATATAAAATCCCAGGAGTTTTGCCTTTGGCTTACAGTGTTTTTTCCTGGTACATTCCCAGCTCTTACGGTGAATCTAATGGTTTACTGTTCAGGGAATGCTACAATAGTAGTAGTTTTAGTTTTTTCATACTGTGGTTAATTTTTCAGAAAGATTATTGTATTGTGGTTATGTATGAATCAAGTGGGTGATGAATATTCAACAGAAGGCACCATTTTCAGTAAATTTATTTAATTTACTAAAACCTACAGACTCTGCCGCTTTCTCCCAACTTTTGCTGTCGCCATTTTGCAGACTTGACAAACGCTGCCATGACAGAATGCCGTAATTTGGCGAAAGCTGACATGAGAAAAAAATAAAATCTATTTCACATAATTTTGAAAGGTTAATAAATAGATTCATCAAGACAAAAACTAAGAATGTTACATGTATAATTTCAGTAGTTTTATAAACAAATAATATAATTCCAGTTAGTTAAAAAAATTCTCAGCTAATTACTGCTTTTACTTATTTCAATTAAGGAAAATGTTTTCTCAACTTCAGTTTTCATTATTTTGTTAGTTTTTGTTAACTCTAATAACTGTGGTCATAAGTCGGTTTCCGCCATCTTGTGAGGGGCAGATATGTGAACATGTGATCTGTTATTGCACCAAGAGACGCTTCAGTTGCACTCTCTCTTTTTCTCTCACCTCCTTTATGCCCTTGGTATCCATCGATGTCCTCCAGCCATCCAGGAGGGGGCGCTGATGGTCCCTCTTCAGGTATATTTGGATCAAATGAATCTGAAACACAAAGAGATGAACAAGGTTTTACTTCATATTGTTTTTCCTCTTCAGAAACTCATGAATAGATTTTTCTCTGTTCTGTTAGCTTTTAATTGGCTAACAACTAGCATGGCTACGCTGATTGAAGCATTTTATTGAATTTTCACAAATAAAACAAAGGCTTCACACAAACTCCTTAAAATTACACAAGATAAATTCTCTCTCTCTCCCACCTGCAGCAGCAGCACCACTTTCTGGGCGCTAAATAAACATAATGAATCTGGTTCATTTGGACCAGAACCAGCTTACACCTCATTTCTTCTAATGCCAAGATTAGTTTGCCACTCCCAACATGGCGCCACAAAGCTAGCGCTCAGGCTCACCTCCTCCTTCTTGATCCTGGTATCCATCCATGTCCCCCAGCTGTCCAGAAGGCGAAGGGCCCTCATTGGGTATGCTGGGATCAAATGAACCTGAAACAGGAAGAGTCATGGAGAGAAATTAAAGTTTTATTCAGGTAACTTTGTTAAAAAGGACCTGAAGTTATGATCTGTGACATAAAGACTCAAACTGCTGCCAGATGGATGGATGAATGGATGTTTGGTGTTGAAATGACTCCCGTCTTTGTCTCCAGGTTTTTAAAAAGAGAAAAGATCTCTGCAGATATTTTCCTACATTTGAATGTTTTGGTTTGGTTACCATGAAACCGCACCTAGAAATGGGGAACAAATGCCCAACTTAGTTTTTCTCTCCACATATAATAAATTCCTTCAGTTATTTATGAAGATAATAAAGCATTTCCACACTGGAACTGGAGTCTAATCAGCAACAAAATAAAATCTGACACACTGGAGTCGCGTCTAAACCGTCTGGATTCGGTTTTTTAAATCTGGTTCTACATAACAGGATCTTTACGTCACACCCACGCCGGAGAATACGCGCGTTCTCCAGCTGATCGCGTTGCTTCGGCTCCATTGGCAGATAAAAATACGAGCCGAGTCGGAGACTGTAAACAATACCGCTGGCCGAGAATAAAAATATCAGCGAGAAGGTGTTTCCCTCGGCAATCTGGGCCCAGATGGACGGAGAGCAGGAAGCAGGGAGAGATGGAGTCATTAGCAGAAAGCCTGCAAACAATCAGCGAGGGATCGTGAGAACAAACGCCACTGATTACAGGAGCTCAACCCTGAGCCCCCAGAGCCTGCTTACAGATTCATAAATGATGATGCAAAATATGTAAATAAATGTCAACCTTTCAGCAAGTAGAGCCTGGTGGCCCGCCAGGCTTAAAAAAGACTGGGGGAAACCCTAATTATCAAATAATTTATTATGAGTTTTTTGTCAAATAATATAAATTTTCATCATGATTTTCTGCTTTGATTATAAGAAAATAAGTCATACTTTATATTAATCACATCAAATTAATTTTGTTCCCACAGTTCTTATGGTTTTCTGCAGTAATTTCTTTTTTTTTTTACTTGTCAGAAACTTTTCCATTTCTTGCTTTTCCATCTCATGAAGCAACGTAGCTTCATGCATTTGACTGGCAGCCAATCAGAAAATGAGCATCAGAAAGAACATTTAAATCAATTAATCTAACTTATAATCTATTTTTGTAAAATGATTGAAAAACAAACAAAAGTTATTGACATTTTTAAGTGTTTTTAGTTTTGCATGTTTTTCTTCTCTCAAACTTTCTGACCCCCCGGTGACCCCTGGCAGCCGGGGGGCTGCGACCCCCACTTTGAAAAACACCGGTACGGACGATGGATAGACCAAAATAAAACTTAAAAAGTGTTATGTGTGTGGAGGGAAACTAACCCTTCACATCTTCCTGAACACATTACCCTCATGGTAAAGCATGGTGGTGGCAGCATCATGGATGGACAGAGCAGGAGGAAAACCACTTAGAGGCTGAGACTGGTCAGCTTCCAGCAAGAGAGCCAGCCTGAACATCCAGACAGAGATATTATGGGATGGATTAGATCAGAGCAATGGGTTAGAACGGCCTAGTCAAACTCCAGACCTGAATCCAACTGAGAATCTGGGGGAAAGGCGTGAAAACTTATATCCTCAGATAAGTTTAGGGGCTTTTGTGAAGAAGAATAGAGAAAATGTTCAGTCTGCAGACTAATCTGCTGGAAGTTGACTTAATAGATGCATGCCACACGTTTCAGATTTTAATTTCTACTTAACGTTTAAAAGAATTTATAACTTTCCTCCAACTTTAGCATTAGGAATTGCTTTGTTGTTCCTAATCATTTTTTTTTCATTAACATTTTTGGTAAAAAAATGTAAAAAAACAATTAAGGTTTAAAGTAAAAAGGTTTTATTGGTAGCTGACAGTAAAGATAAGACCTGGAGTAAATCGGTCCAGTAAAACTCCTCAGCTGACCAGAGGCTCTGCACTGTAAATAATTAACATACCTCTGGTAATAAAACAAAAACACACAAGGATTTTCCTGCTGGGATGAAAACTCCAGATTTTACATCTGTTAAAAATATGTCACAGATTTCTCTGAAATATTTTGATCTAAATTCACAAAACCAAAGGGGTCCTGGTCCACCTCTGAGGGGAACACCATAATCAGTAGAAACAAACAGTATTTAAATAACTGGAACATTTCTATATGAAGTGAATTTAATAGCATTACGCCAAATTGAACTGAATTTAATACAACAAAGAAACCTGAGCAGAGGTTTAAAAGGAAACATGTAAATGTCCTTTAAAATCCATTTAATCCAATTGTTTTAGAGCAACCACAAGTGAAATGCTGAGGCAATATATAGGTTTTGTCATTGCTGATCCACAGTTATCTGGAGCCAAAAGCATCAGAGTATAACAGATGAATTAATTAATTATAATTTCCATCCATATCAAATGAAAATAAAACAATTTGAGTGGTAAAGTTGACGTAGCAAAAGAAAAAAACTTAACATATTAGATCATTATTTCATTAACTATTTTTGTTAAGACATATTTAGCCAATTATATATTAACTATATTAACACGTAAAAGTTCTTAATGACGTAATCATTCATGACTTCATCATGAAATGTGGCACTACTGGAGCTCCATACAGACCTATCTACAGATACAGTCATTAAACGGAATTAATTACACAGTAATGCAGTTTACATTCAGGATTCTGACTGGATGCTGAAAGCAGAACCTGGGCTCCTATTCTACTGGGTTCTGTAACTCAGAACCTGAACTGGTCCTGTAACTCAGAACCTTGGTTTTGTTCTACTGGTTCTGTAACTCAGCAGAACTTTTGTGAACTTTGTTTCTGCTTTCTGCTGTTTCCACTTAAACTCTGAAAGCCTCTTCCGTTCGGACAACTTTTTAAGGAAACTTTTTCACAACAAAAATATCAGAGTAAACGGACTGAATGTTCTGACCCAATTCAGTTCGGAAGAAAAAAAAGAAGCATCACAGCGAATTGTAAAAAACTTGTTGAAAAGTTTCATACCTACAAAATTGCTGTTAAAATAAATTAAACTCACCGAGATCTCCCTCCATCTCGTCTCGTTATTTGCGTTCTGGACCTCCCCAGAACGCAAATAAAGCTCCGCGAACCTGGAAAACAACAAAAAGTAAAGCTGCGGTAATACCACACCACTTCCGGTCAGGACTTTCACAACAAAGCTCTGTGACAGCGACATAAAATAAATTATAAAAATAAAAACGTTGAATTAAAAATCATAAATTTGTTCTTCAACGGAGGAGAAAGTCATCTTTAAAATGCAGAGATACAAAAATATAAATTTGAAATTTAAGTGTGAAAAACATTTAAACACAAAAGAGCTTCACATTTTACACCTCCAGAATAAAACCGGAGAAATAAAACTCAAAGATGAAAAAACAAGCCTAAATAAATCGATTATTTATATCCAATCTGGAGAGTAAAGTGACTGTCAACGCACTGAATGTTTGTTCTTTATGGTTCTGGATTCCTTATCTATTCATAAATCCAGTGCTAACGCCATGCTGCCACTAGGGGGAGCTCTGCTCTAAAATGTGGTGATGATCCCGAGGTGCGTTCACTGACGAAATGCCCTGTGGGAAAAAAAACCTGTACTCTCACTACATGAACTGCAAACGCACGTTAACTTGTTTATTACCCATTTTACAATGAATTAATCCTAAAGATGAAGATATTTATACATATTATTAATTAATTGCTAATGAATTATGATATTTTGTTGATTAAGATGAATTACAGTTGTCTGTGTCTCTCCTCAAATGCTTGCCTTTAAAGCAAGCATTTGTCAAACATTCATGGCTCCATTTTTGATATTTTAAAGTCGTATTTATATTTTAGATTAATAAAATTAGATTACTCTCATTTCCCGATGTAAAATATTTATATTTTACCTATCCTCCTGTTTTTAACAGAACAACAAGTGGGTTCTCCTATTCACCTGTTGTTGAAAATAGAAAGCAAACAGATAACAGCGCAGCAGCTGAACAGGATCCATTTTCTTTCCTAAATAATAAAACATATTTTACAATCTGGAGGCTCTACATTGCCACCTTCCGGCCAGGCAAGGATACTGCAACTTAATCAGTTATATTTTATGCACAGATGAAGGAAAACCTCCAGAAATTACCCTAGTTTTTAGGAACTGTATAAGAACAAATGTATAAAAATGTTTCAGAAATTGTCCATAAACCTAGAAAACAATATTTTCTTAAACTTTGCACATGATGAAACTAATACAAAGGAAAAGAAAAAAATCCTGCACAGAGAAAAATACGCAAATGCATAAAACTGTAACAATTAGCTGCAAATAGAAATATTCTCATTTCAAAATTAAATCAATCCTTTATTTATTTTTGTTTACGGGCTGCACTCTTTTCAGCGGGAATGAAGGCAGAATGTCCGAGCGGTCAGTGAACGCAGCACTGTGAGATCTCTTGAAGCCGCAGCTGAACTTCTCCGTTAGTTTCTATCTGAACCATCTATGGGCAGAGAGGTACCTGCTGGACCTGGTCCAGAACCTCTCCTCCTTCTAACTGAACTGAGATAGAAACCTCCTCAATCCGGTCCGGAGGTCCACATCCCGGCAGCAGAACCCTGGTACCGGTCCGGAGGTCCACATCCCGGCAGCAGAATCCTGGTACCGGTCCGGAGGTCCACATCCCGGCAGCAGAATCCTGGTACCGGTCCGGAGGTCCACATCCCGGCAGCAGAAATCCGGTTCGGTGAGTTTTATTCCGCTGCAGGCGGTTCAATCAATTACTGATTAGTAGTAAAGACATAATATTGATCAATATTAATATGATCAATATGTATTTGCTTTATGATGTTGATGATGGCGTTTCATAAAATGTTTATTGCGTGTTTCAGAATTTATTATTTTTACATTGTAAAGCAGCAGAGACGGCGATATGGATTTAAAGTTTATATCGTTTATATTTTTAGGTTGTGTTGATGATAAAAGTGACAATAAAAACTTTTTCTGATTTTAACAACAATCTTGGTCCCCAAACACACCAATGATGCTGTTGAAAAACAATATTTATTTAGGACATCTGGCACGTGCAGAAGTGTGATTTGTATCACTGAACTGCACACAGTAACTGTATTTAATTATATTTTGAGGCTCTCATTGAACAAAGAGTGGATAGAAACAACAGTCCAGACAATACTGGTCAGTTTTGGTGGGTTTCAAACGTCATTAATTGGAATCTATTATGGCAATGATAAATCAAAATTCTTATCATGATTATAAATTTATCACGATAAATGATAAATTTATCACGATAAATGATAAATTATAATTTATCTCTATACTAATTGATGATCCTGGTTCTGTTTAAATCAGCTTTGGGTCGGGTTAACTCATGTCAGTAGTGTTATACCAAACTGGGCCAGGTGTGTTTCCTCTGATTGGAGGGTTGGATGTTTCTGACGTCACTGAGTTGTGTTCAGGTTCAGTCAGACAGATGATGTGTTATCTGCCTGATGGGAGGCATTACCAACGTGACTCTGGATTACTGTGAGATTGAGATTCCATAAACCGGATTGTTTCTAATGAAAAATTAGTTTTGAAGCGGTTCAGACCCATGAACGCATCAGGAGAAAATCCTCCTGATGCGTTCATGGACCTGCAGCAGAGTCGGTCAAATCAGAGAGGAACAAGAGAGATCAGAGAGAAAAACCTCCCCTCATTGTCTCTGCCTTTCCTGTTCTGGAGGTCAGCATCACCCCCGCTGCTGCTTCCTGTGTATGTGTGTGTGTGTGTGTGTGTGTGTGTGTGTGTGTGTGTGCGCGTGCGTGGGTGTGCGTGTGTGTGTTTTCCTGCCTGTTTTGTGTCATTGTTTTGCCTCAGAAACAGCTGTTTACAGCTGGATGGTGAGGATGAGTCATGGAAAATCCCTGTATGACTGATGGTAGCAGAGAAGCTGAATGCACTGTAGTGTGAAGTATTGATCCCAAAAGTTGTTGTGATAAACAACAATACAATGGCATAATAATGCCTTCAAGACGCAGCTCCTCTTTGTTTCTGAGCTTCTGCCTCATGGAGCAGTTCACCACTCAGCTCCTTCAGACTAGCCAGCAGCAATCAGCAAACATCTGGTGGAATTGAGCATCTGGTCTCAGTGCTATGTTGTTAAAGGGCCCATGTTGTGAAGAGCAGCAGTTTTAAAGAGACAGAGGTCCAATATCAAGTCATAAAGTTACAAAGTAAAAATTCCTGTAAATCGAGAGCTGAAGTTAACATAGTTGCTTGATTGTGCTATAAAATGGCAGCATTAATAAAAAACACACAGTGCTTTAAGTTTTTATTGACATGTTTTAGTGGGAATAAAACCAGTTTGATGGCTCTGCTCTCTGGGTCCAGAGTTGCTTGTTTCCCCTCAGTAACATGAGCCTTTACCGTGGTTTACTGTCGGGCTCTCTTACCTGCAGGTCATGTTTTGGTCTGTCTGCATCAGTTTAAAGCTGAAATGCTGGTCCAAGTGTCAGGGTAGCTTCTAGGAGCAAAGTGCTGAGAGGTTTGCTCTGCGTCAACAATAACACAATTATTTTAACCCCTTTACATCCATGATGACTCCATGTTTCCCTGAAGAGACGATCTAAGCTTAGGATGAGGAAATAACTTCCCTAATGTCAGTTTTACTCTGACAGCTGTTTTGGCTCCTTGCAGCTTATTTATCTTGGAGATGGTGCGGTTGCATGACGCTCGCCGTCTCCTCACTGCCCTGTCCTGCAGTTCTCCGCTCTTCCTCCTCCGATGTCGCCTCAGAGGAATCTAACGAAGCAGGAGGTTTTTCTGCTCCGACTGAGCCTTCGTAAATCATCCAGGAGTCACCGGAATCTGTTGCTCGGCGTTTCATCATCCTGCGAGTTAAAATCCCATCATAAAAACATTTGAAAACTAAACAGCTAAACACCCACATGAAATATGCAAAATGCATACTGGTGCTGAAAAGGCCAGAAAAACATCCTCTTCATCACCAGCCGGGAGAAACCCCCTCCTCTTCGTCTTCCAGTCCACAGCTGAAGGCCTGAAGCTCCAAACGTCTGTGGGAAGAAAAACAGTCTGGGAATTAAAGGAAGCTGGTTCATAAGAGAAGCTGCTGCAGCTCTGGAGGTCAGGGGTCAGAGAGGAACCATCTGACCGAACCAACCAACCAAACCAACCAACCAACCAACCAACCAACCAACCAACCAACCACCAACCAACCAACCAACCCAACCAACCAACCAACCAACCAACCAACCAACCAACCAACCAACCAACCAACCAACCAACCAACCAACCAACCAAAGCGTTTTCCCCTTTCTTGCAGCTGAATCATGTTACTGGTATATTCAGTAAATTGATTACTCCCTTTACTGAACATATTTCTCTTCATCTCTGCATTAGTTTGGTTCTCCCGATAAAACTAAAAACAGAACACCATGCAGAGCGAAGCATTATGCAGATTCCTGCAGGTGATTCATCCTCAGATAGTACAACACACATCATGCATAAACTTGTTGCAATAGATCAATTAAACTGCTGATCAAAACAAACTCAATAATTTCCATTTGCATGATTTGTTTTTCTCTTCTCTCTTTCTACCAAAAACTAGATTACAATAGTCTTCAGCTTTGGACTCAAAGCCACATAATTTCAAATTCATTTGAAATTGAAATTCATTTAATTTCAAATGAATTGTCGTTCATTTGAAAGACAATTTTAATTACAGAAACTTCATGATTCACTTCCTTTGTTGTTTCTGTTGCTTTGTGTAGTTATATTGGATATTTAAAATGTCTTCTGGTGTTAAATATTTATTAGAATTTAAAGTTTATTAATCTTTGAGAACGTGTTCTTGCATTATTTTGCCATTCAAATTATATTACTTCAAAATGGTCTCAAAACAATAACAACAATATTATTGTTTATTGCAATAACTTCTGGGACAATTTATCGTCCAGTAAAATATGTTATGACGTATCAGTGGGTCCTGTGCCTCTGGTTGGTTCCGGTTGGTTCTGTGTATTTTTCTCTCCGAATTGTCCGTCCTGCCGTCGCTGTTTGTCCTCCGCAGCTGAACGAGTTTTTGTTGATTTCCTTCCTTTGCAGTCGTTT